TGGATCACCTTGTTCGCATTGCGCCTAGCCCCTGTAAAACGAATGAAAATCTTAGCGTCGCTTTGGGTAGTAGCACTGCTCTGCGAGGTATTCTGAAGCAATTGCCGGCAATATTCAGCGTCCCGGCAATGCACCGGGCTGGCATACTACTAGGCGTGCGCGTGCGCGTATAGCAGGGGGACGTGAAGAAAAGCTGTGGTTTTAAGTCTCGATCGCACAGCATAGAATTTGGTCAATTGACAGATATTATAGATCCGATTCTCTCAACTATATCAGTTTGAACGAGATCAACCCGTGGGGGACTACAAGCTCTCTAACCTTGGCAAATTTGGCACTTGAAAAATACCCCTCTGCATTTAGTCCCCCTGACCCCATAAACTACCCTTCCAGCTTGCGTTTGTAATCCTACGTGTATTTTTTTCAATTACATCGGAGTAATCAGCTATATACGAGCCACGGAGCGTAATCACCCACTCTGTGTGCAAGACGCAGATTATACCAATTCAGGCCAGTGGACGAGCAGTACCCTCAGGTTTCGGTACGCTGAGCCGGACCAAGGTGACTATATGCGTCGCTTTCAAAGCGCAACTTAAGGCTAAACCTCTTGTTTAGCACTGGCCTAACCTCCCATAGGCGTTTGGCGTCCTTAGTATTGCAAATATTTAAGCCTCAGTGGTCTAGTAGTATGATTCGCCCTTCGGGAGTTTTCCCGTAAGCTGGGAATTAAACCCAACATGCTTACGTAATGGGTGAGGTCCTGGGTTCAATTCCCAGCTGGGGCCTTCTTTTATTGCTCCTAAACTTGGCCCAACCTCTCGAGAACTCGCGGTTTTTCAATCCAGCAGTCAGTTGCCACCAAAATAGTTTTTTACCACCGTACACCGCAAATGAACCTGTGCCAGAGCCCTCCCATTTACAAGACAGTACCAGGCGTATCCAATAAGCATGATCCCACAGAATTTCTGTAGGCGGCGGGGCTTGCAGAGGTAGGCGCTGAAGGGGATGCGGGATGGTCACGTGCACACTTCTTCAAACGAGCCACCCAAAATATATCAGCATTACGCATGGAGATGCATGGCGAACTCGTAGAACTCTTTGTCTCCTCCCTCTTATACCCTTAATTTTTGATAAATATTGTGCGAGGCCATTAGGATATCCTTACACTTCTGTCGTCTCATGGCTTGACTTGAGCATACAAGCTTAGCTACTGGGTGCACGCGGTGTATGTAGGGACATGAGAAGAACACTAAAAACGAGTCCACACCTATAACATCTATATGAATTCGCTTATAATGGGCCTTTAAAGTCTGGGTTCAATTCCCAGTCGGTCATCATTTGGCTTTTGCATACATTCAGCCAAACCGAAGGACCACTTTAGCTATGCTCGACTAGAATACGGTTCTTGCGTAGTCAGAAAAGAAACTAGCATTATCTTGCACCCAAAATACAATATCCACACTATGCTCTATTCTATGCACATGGCACACTCCACCCCTCAAAGTCGACTCTGCCTTCTTGGATCGCCACGATACTTTCCAAAAGTGCACTTGCGACAGGTCCCAATCCACTCTTGTATGCCGGTACCTCAATATTTAATATCGCATCTGGTCCGGCCGACTTGTCTTGATACCCAATTTGTCCGATAGGACAGATGATCGCGGCTGTTCCGACCCCAAAGGCTTCGATTAACCGCCCTTTTTCTGCCATCTCCTTGACTTCATGAAGTGTGACTGCGCGCCCTTCCGATCGTAGTCCATGCACTGCAATAAAGTTGGCAATGGGGGATGAAGGCGAATTGATAAGCCCAAGCACCGAGTTACGGGTCACGCCAGGGAGAATTGTGCCGTCTAGAGCGGGTGTGATTGCATCAAAACCTGCTCGATAGATTAATGCAGAACGCCGAGTACTTAGAGTCGCATACATACCACCATCGTCTCGTCTGAACACGACAAAAAAGTTCATCTGCCCGGCCTCGGTGATTTGCCTATATCTTATGGTCAGCTATATGGGCCAACCTCAAGACATTTTTACCCACTGGTTTTCGCCCAAGATCCATAGGATTTGCTGGTATCCTTTCTTCGCTGCCTCGCGTTGGGGTTTGAAACACGGTGCATAGTTGATTCCGAGCTGAGGAGCAGAATGGCTTAGCTAATTTTACAATCTTACGGAATGCACCACACCTTGTATGCGCCCGTTCCTCCCGGCCAGGAGCGAACTGCGTCCTGTTCAGCCCATAAACTGATCGGCTTGTACCCAGTCGGAAAGTATGGCCCAGTTGGGGAGCAAATAACATATAAACACGCATGTGTCGATGCCGCCACGCCAATCGCTGGAAGTTCAGGTAAGATTCCGAATTTGCACCAAGGGGCAATGACCACTTACCAGGCCGTGTCCCAATCATAGTCGGGCGAATGTACAAACTGTACCCCTCTAGCTTGGGTATCCATCGTTTCTCTAGCTGTACCAATTTCTTAATCATCTTCAAAAGTTCATTGGCGTCAAAGTGCTGTTCCACGTCACGTCATTTATTGTATGCGCTGATCGGAAGGCAAAACACACAGGCAGCGCAACGCGGTCCGCTGACGTGGACATCCGATGCATGTTTAAGTCCGGTCGGAAAAGCCTAGGTTGGCCAGCTGGGTCAAGAAACGCCTACAAACCATCAACAAAAGTTATTGTGTAAGAAAGGTACTAAACACACCTTCATGCCCTCGAAAAGCGCCGGCGTATAATGGAATACTATCAAGGCATCAGTTGGCTCCCACCCGAGATGTCTGGACCATAGTCACCTGAACAAGCTGGGTCAAGCTCGAGAGGAGCATAGGGCTTAATGACGGGAATGGACCATCCGGTCTCAGGGCTGTAGTTTACGATGAGCATATGATCTGTCATAGTCTTTGGATACTCGGTAGGCGTATTAGCTGGCATTTGCATTCTGCTCACCTGGCCGAACACTAGACTCTCAGGAGCCGGGAGCTCTCTGAGGCTCGTAGAGTGGGTAATAATCAGCTTGGATGCCTGGACCCATGGGTTCAGCTCGGTTCTGACGGTAAAACGAAAGACTAACATCAAGGCCTGGGAGGTCG